CAGTAAAGTAAACTTCACATGCGTTTTAGCAGATATCATTAGTTCAACCAAACATGTAAGGGATAATAGTGGTGATGATTTTACCTTGGATACGAGCGAGAGTGAGCCTGCAGTGTAATCGCGTATAGTGAGGGCAGTCAAATGAACTGCTGTCTCAGCTGTCACCTCAAAAGAGTGTGAAACCAGACCAACTCTGCAGGGGGCGCTGGGAAAATTACAAGTAACGTGAATTACGTAATCGGATTACTTTTTCAAGTAACTAGTAAAGCAAAACTGATATTTCACCAAAAAAAAAAATCAAATAAGTAGGTCTGTCAGTTAAACGCGTTATTAACAGCGTTAATGCAAACCCACAGTGTCAATTTTCTTACCGCGTGATTAACGGTCTTTTGGCCTAGCACACTTTGTCTCTTTTTCATATGCTTTTGCAACAGGACGTGGTGCTGCGCTATGAAACCCATTTTTTTCAATGACTTTTTTTTTTTTTTGCTTCGTCGACCAAACCGCAAGCGGATCTAGCTAGACCGGAAGCAAAACAACAGGCACGTCGCACACTTGTTTGGGCTTGCGAGGTGGCTAAATAGGAGGAGGCGTTACGTTTTGAGTGGATGACGAGCGCGAAACGCTGAAATGGATGCCAATAAGATTCTGAATGGAAAGGTTAGTTTTAAAAGTTGCCAAATGGTCCCATTGACAAGACCAAAGTGATCTGTGTGTTTTGTCGTTGTGAACTGAGCTATCATCATCGCAGCATGTTCAGTCTGAAACACACTTGATTGATGGCCAAGAACACACACACACAGCTGATGCGAATTCTCCGCCCCCTCGTCCATATCAGGACCTCGTCAGTATTTCCTTCACACTTTTATTGATGGACAGTGTTACATTGAGAGATATTTTGCTCCAAGTGAGAATGTTAATGTGAAATTGAACACAGTATATGGCAACGTTGTTTTCAATGAAAAACATTTGCACAAAGCAAGCCGATCCACTTTTCCATGTTGATAAGAGCATTAAAGGATTAGTTCACTTTTCAAAAAACTTTTGCTGATAATTTACTCACCCCCATGTCATCCAAGATGTCCATGTCATTCTTTCTTCAGTCGAAAAAAAATTAAGGTTTTTAATGAAAACGTTCCAGGATTTTTCTCCATATAATGGACTTCAATGGGAACCAGACGGTTCAAGTTCCATAAGACAGTTTCGGTACAAACTGCAAACTGTTCAAAGGGCTTTAAACGATTCCAGATGATGAATAAGGGTCTTATCAAAGAAACGATCGCTCATGTTTTTAAAAAAATAACAAAGTTTAAGTTTTATAAGATCAAACGCTCACCTTGCTCTGTTCTGTGGTGCACGTTCGTGACTCACCTGTTCAAACTCGTTCAACAAAATAAACAAATCTTTTTTCCGAATCAATTCATTCGTTTCTTTCGCCGAATGAACCAAATGACTCAGAAAGAGATTTGTTCATTTTGATGAACGAGTTCGAACAGGAGTGCGTTACACAACAGAGCAAGGCGAGCGTTTGAACTTATAAAACTTAAACTTTGTTATTTATTTATAAAATGAGTGATCGTTTCGCTTGATAAGACCCTTATTCATCGTCTGGAATCGTTTAAAGCCCTTTGAACAAGTTTGCAGTTTGTACTTAAAGTTTCTTTTGGAACTTGAACCGTCTGGTTCCCATTGAAGTCCATTTATGGAGAAAAATCCTGGAATGTTTTCATCAAAAACCTTAATTTCTTTTCGACTGAAGAAAGAAAGACATGGACATCTTGGATGACATGGGGGTGAGTAAATTATCAGCAAAAGTTTTTTTCAAAAATGAACTACTCCTTTAAGTTGAGAAGAAATAAGAGACATTTAGGACAGATTAAAATGTCAGATTAATCGTGAGTTAACTATGAAATTAATGCGATTAAATATTTTTATCGTTTGACAGCGCTACAAATAAGTAATGCAAGTTACTTTGTATTCCCATTTATTGTCTGACACCTCTCCTTCCCCTATGTTAAAAGAAATCAGGAGTAAGCATGGAGGTTCAGTAAGAGATTCAGTATTCCTCAAAATCGTTCTGGCATGAAACTCTAGATGGCGCAGGCTAATTGTTCTGAGCTGCAACTTGGCACTGTACAATATAGGGCTGTGAAACGATTAATCGCATTCAAAATAAAAGTTTGTGTTTACATATATGTGTGCGTAGTATGCATAATTATCTTGTATATTTAAATACACACACATACATGTATATATTTGTGACATTTTATTTTATTTTTGTTGGACCTCATTGGTGCTTCATCCCAGCGAACAGCGTGATCTGATAACCATATTTTGCCATGTCAGTGTAACTATTTATGCTGCGACAGTCAAGAAAGTGAGATTCCTGGATTTGTTGCCACAATGTAACTTTGGTGTCAGATGTTGAAAGTGACGTTGTTGCATTGCTATTCTGTTGGTAATGTTTAACTTGACTGACCAGCCTTCGGGCAGACATGCATTAGTTTAAAGGATATGCTAGTCTTTTTTTTATTTATTTTTTTATAAAATAACAGGGACAACTCTTAGTCTTAAAAGCAGCATTGATCGTATCTGCTGCAGCTTTTTTATGAGAAACCTCGTAAAGTCAGCCATATTGTTTCCATATACAATGTCTGTACTGCTAAAAATACATGCAAAATGTATATTTGGGAAAAGAGTTGCAACAAGATCTCAGGTTTTAGGCTACATCATCCGGTTTGTATCTAATACATTGCAACTCTCACATTTCTCCACAAGATTGGAAATCCTACTTCTCAAACACAATGAAACATCTTAGGTGGATTCTGAAGGACAGTGCTGAATGAAAAAACAATATGATCATGTTGCTGTCAAGGGAATGCTTTAACCCTTTTTTAAAAGTTGTGTATGAATTCCTCAAGTGTCCTGAGTGTGAAAACATGGATCTCAAAATCATACAGTCATTGTTGGGAGAGGGTTCAAATATGCAGAAGATGCTAGATGAGGCAACCAATGAGTGTGCAGGACTTGGAGGACTTTTTTAACTGCTCAGGACAAACAAGGGACTTGAGAATAACCATCACAAAACATAAAAAAACAGTTGTTGAACAAACAGTGGTATTAGTTCACTTTAAAAAAAAAAACTTTTGCTTTTTACTCACCCCCCACCCCCCCCCACCCCCCCACCCCCCCACCCCCCCATGTCATCCAAGATGTCCATGTCTTTCTTTCTTCGGTCAAAAAGAAATTAAGGTTTTTGATGAAAACATTACAGGTTTTTTCCCCATTTAATGGACTTTATTGGGCATCAAATGGTTCAAGGTCCAAAAGACAGTTTCAGCGCAGCTTCAAAGGGCTTTAAACGACACCAGATGAAGAATAAGGGTCTTATCTAGCGAAACGATCTGTCATTTCAAAAATAAATAACAAAGTTTAAGTTTTATAAGCACAAATGCTCGTCTTGCTCTGTTCTGTGATGCACGTTTGTGACTCTCCTGTTAAAAGGTATGTAAACTTTAAAAACTTTAAAGCTGTTATGTATTTACAGCTTATTCAGGACAGTACTACTAGCATCTTGAATATTCTGCAATGTGTATGTACACTGAGTAGAACTGCAAATAGGCCATAACTTGGACCTGTTCTGAATTTCTGATTCAATCTGTTTTTTTTTCTCATGATATTTATGTTGAGCTTTGTATGATGATTTTTTTTCTTTTATTTGTGGATTGCATTCATATAATTTCCTATTGTTCAATTACCAATGAAACAAGTTGTCTAAAGGTACGTTTACATGACATAATGTACGTAGTCCTCAAACCGTATTTACTTTTTAGCCCTTAATCCTGTAATTGTGGACAAATGTGGGCACAGGTGTGATCCTAATTTTTATTTATTATAAATGTTATATCACTGTCTTCGATAAAGTTTTGTCTATCCATTTTTGGTGTTTTTTTTAATTATTATTTTGGGGGTATTTTTGAATTTATTTACTTCAAAAAGTACCATATTTTCTATGTAAATTATGCTTATTTTTATGTTTTATTTTTAAATATTTTTAACTACATTAAAATATCATTCCAATAAGTTCTTAGAGCTGAAACCTAAAGATGAAGTGACTTTGCTGTCACCTGGTGTCTTATTTTGGCTTATTTTAGATTTAAATTACAGTTTTTCCCATTCATGTCTATAGGTGCTCATTTTTGACCCAAATACAAGATTAAGGAGTTTTTTTTCACCCACTTAACATTGTAGAATTGAGTCAAAAAAAATTGTGTGTGTTCAGGAGGCAAACTTAGGAAAAGTAGCCAAGTCTTGTACCACTCAGATCAAGGGAAGTATTTTTTTTTTAAATAAATCAAAACTATTTTGCCCACATTTGTCCAGATTACGGTTTTAGGGTTAAAACAGAAACCTTTTTCCTTCGCGTTTTTCACGTACAGAGGACAACGTTGTCAAAAGACGATAACGGTATCGTTTTCAAAAACGTGCACGTGCAAAAGTTTTTAGAACCCCAAAATGCCATTTCCTCGTAAATGTAAGGCCAAAATGCATAGAAATTTTCCTGCTTATAGTTGACGGTTTGGTGGAAACACCCTAATTAAGTAGTTACTCTCTCTGAAACAGTGAAGTGAACTGTGAAAGCGAAACTGAATTTAATAGCACGTCTCAATATGAGTCATAAGCTATTGTGATCCACCCAAAGTTTTTTTTGGGAGTACTTTCTCTTGCTGTCAGACATCATATAATTGAAATGAGGTTAACCTATCTGTAATGTGATTATACACTGTCAGTAGAGACAGTCGATCTGAATGCAAAAGGGTACCAGTGTTCAATACCTCCTTATTTCCCTGGACAAAGGTTGCCAGTGTTCCTTGTGATGCTGTGTTACATTTGTTGAATTACAAATGGGATTGATTTGCGTTTCTGTGCATGTGAGCTCTCAGTGGAGAGTACTGAGAGTACTTGGTAGTATTTTCAGGCTGTTGGTTTTCTTTCCACAGGTGGTTTTGCTATCGTATTTCTGGTGAGGACTCATCAGGGCGTCCGTTGTGCGATGAAGAGAATGTATGTGAACAATGAATATGACCTTCAAGTATGCAACAGGGAGATTCAGATTATGGTGAGACATTGCCTTCTTTACATGCCTTACACATTTTTGTAATTTTTCTGCAGCTCTACTAGGAGAGCATGACACTAAAGTCACAAACATACTGGTGTACACCCAAAGTTGCTTTTTTATTTTTTCTAAACATCAGCCAAATGAACGAATGTCAATTGCATATTATCACCACAGGCAGCAGTTAACAGGGTCCAAGCTCTTTGGAAAAAGGGAGATAATGACCACAAAACTAAATTAGCCATAACAGAATAGTTATATTTGTGAATTTAAATTTACAGATATTTTAGATATACTGTTCCCTCGGTATAATTTGACAAATTAATATCTGTCTGCAGAATGTATTATTGACGCAATGGTTAAAGGCCAATGGGCTTTATGCCCAGCTGCACTACTTCCTGAACTTCAGCCAGCTTCTTGTTTCCTGTCTGCCATTATTGGCCAAATTGATTAATTCAGGTGTGTCTGATTATTGTTGCCATGACAACTGAGGTCGGGCTCACCTGGATTAATCAATTTGGCCAATAATTGCAGACAGGAAACACGGAGCTGGCTGAAGTTCAGGAAGTAGTGCAGCTGGGCATAAAGCCCATTCAGTATGGGTTACAGCCGAAAATGCAATTAGCATAACAAAAATAAAATTGACAAACTCGTTTTGATTGTTACTTATTTATTCATTTATTTATTTATTGACAGGGTTGAACGACTTTTTTAAGTCAACAATTATGTGATTTAAAGTTGTGTCGACGTTGACTATAGTCGCTGATGATGTCATTAATGAACGGATAAGCAGGACCCCGGGTTGCCTTGTGCACAGCTATGGAATATGACACAGCGCTGCCCACAAGGCTATTGCTCATAATGGCTTATTGTTATGATGAGTTATTTTGTCTTTGGGTCATTATATTTCTCACAGATTTGTACTTGTTCTTAATCGGATACAGATAAAGTAGCACAGTTAAAATGACATTTTAAAGGCCAATTCCGACAATTAGGGGTTAAAGTAACACCAGGTATTTTTTACTCTCGGGGTCCCCCTACAGTTGGGAAACAGTATTGTCCTCTACTTCTTTCGTAAACTGTTTTCCTTCATGCACGCGCATTTGTTTACAACCATGATAGCCCTGAACACAGTAGGAGGAGGTCACATGCAGGTGTTCTGCTTGCGTCGTGTGAATGTCTTCATCCCAGGTACAGCATGTCGTATGAATATAATTTCATAGGTTTTATTTTTTTTTTCTAACGACAAATGATCACGATGCTCACGTTTACAAGCCAGCGTCATTATAGTAGCCTAGTCTATTGGTTACCGTTTTACTGAATCTATATGTTAATTCAATGCAATGTCTGAGTGGTAGATAATAACCATATATCGCTAATATTATAATATCAAGCTACCCTAAATGAATCAGCAAATTTTACAAATCGATTTGCATTACAGCTTGAGGCAAGAAAAATAAACGAATATCACAGACATGTTAATAGGTATCCTAAAATATGATTTTGTACATCTTATTTATTTCCTTGCAAGAATGTAGCCCCTACCAAACCTTGTACACGCCGTTTACAAGTTAAAACCCCAGTTAACTTTATTTTGAAGATAAACGGAGGATAATTTAGCTTCCGTAACATAGTAAGGCAGACAAAAAAAACAAAGAGACAGGCTAGTATGCAATAACGTACTTACTGGTCTAAAATCATGATAGCCAAGTCCGCATCGGTCGGCCCCCCTCCTCCTCCTTCAGCTCACGCCAGAAAACACTGACCCAAAGTTGATCCTCGTTCTGCCTTTAACGCGATCACTTTCTCTTTTTGCTTTGCTCCGATAAAACCTTTGCTTTCTGTGCTACTTCAGCCATGACTATAACATTTGGCTTGCACATCCGATTTTAAGGAAGTGGGGTGGTGGTGGAAGTGACGTATATGCCGTAAAGCATTTGAATTTTGTAGTTCTCTTTGTTCGCCGGGTTACTACCCGAAACCCGAAGTTGAAAAGTACGATTAAGAACTCTACAGACACCGTCAGGCTATGGCAGATGTGTCATTCAACCTATTGTGAGTCGAAATATATTATGAAGGTTGAAAAGTTACCTGGTGTTACTTTAATAACTCGTGGGTATCGAGTCGACCGGGATGTGCTTTCATTATATGTACCCAGTTTTAGCTTGAACCACAGATTAGCTTATAATGCTAGTATATAGGGCATAGAGTAAGTAAAAATAAAAATTGCTAGTTAATACCACTAACAAGGTTTAAAAATAGCCCCACACTAAAACGGTAGCATAATGAGGGTCCCTACCTGCAAACCGAAGCATTGTAAGAGCACAGACAGTTTAATAAGAAGATACTTTAAAAAGACTTTGTATACAGACAGGAGCCATCTTTGGAAAAATGTCTCGACCAGTCGAACCATGAACGCGGTGCTGCGTGAGCTGAACTGTGGCTTAGAATCGTCCATTGTTTCCGGAAGAAAGCACCGAGTGCATAAGAGTAGCACTGAACACAACAGAGAAAATAAATAAATATATATATTGAAAAAACAAACTGAACTCAACAGAGTTTGATGTAATTTGTAAAAAAAAAAAGTGTTTGTTTTTAAAATGAGTTTGTTTTTAGTTAGTTATGTGATGATAAAATAACGGTGCTCTAACATCATGATTGACAGCTGTGATTGACAGGTAGTCAATCACAGTGCGAGGTAGTCACTGAAGCACCAGCGGACTTTTTTTTAATAATGTTGATTATGTGGTTAATAGTTGTGTTTACCTTATTTTAACGAGGTTCTGCAATCAGCAGACATCACTGGAAAAGAACGAAGCAGACAGAGGACACTTAATGAAAGTGCGGGGGGCGTGTGCTTGCGTTTGATTCAGCGAGAATGAGGCCGCGGCCTTGATTTCGCGGCTTTACTTCCTGCTCACGACTGCGCATGACTGGTCCCGAAACACGCAAGATGTTCCAAGATGTCAGCGTCATATCGAGACACTGGCGGCTTCAGTTCTCTCTCATGGAAAAGAGCGAGGGGGCGTCGTCCATCTTTTTTTACAGTCTATGCTCGAAACAGATTTTTCAAAGGCACACTCCAAACGGAGGACTACGAGAAATTTCACAGAATGCATCGCAAATAACCAGCGAGATGGCTTCACAAACGGTTAAACATTTAAATTTAGCGCCAGAAGACACCACCATGCACTTCCTCTTATAATAACACTATAGTCACTCTTATAATAATAGTGTAGTCCAGAGGTCTCAAACTCGATCGCGGCCCGCGGGATGATATTTTGTGGCCCCCTACTTGATTTAAAAGTTTAATGTTAGTGCGGCCCGCCGTTGCGTTTGCCGCGTTTTTTTTTAATTATTATTATTTTTATCCCTTATGGGCTACCATATATAGTCTCGTGACAGCTTACCGTGGGTTTGTTGTCAATAGTTGTCATAGACAACCACGAAGTACAAATATCCACAAGTTTCCTACGCCCCATGAGGCCTTGCGTCAAAAGTGGGCGCGACTTCCGGTTGGAAGTAAACAAAGCGCAACTTGACATACTTCACACTCGTTCATTCAACAGTTGACAGTCATTCAAGTTATAGCGATCCAAACTAGATAACGATGTGGGAACACAACCTCAACGAAATTCAAAAGGGTGAAATAACAGTGCCTTTACCCTCCGCAGTAGTTGATTGGGAGTATTATAATAACATTATTAATAATCAATACTCATTAAGGCATGGTGACAGACAGTTGTGCGAGCTGACAAACAATTCAAATAAAAAATACACACTTAGTCAATGTGCTTTGGAGTTTATTCAAAATTATAAATGAATGTGCTGCTTGAATACATTAACTGGCACATTTGGTATTCTGTCAACACAGGCTTTGATCCTGAGTTTAGCTGTAACATCAGTAGCGAACAGCCAATCACATGCTGATAGAGTTTATAGAACATTAAGAATTTAAACAAATGTACACAGGAATATTCGTCGTCTTTTGGGAGGTGATGGAAACTACAGTCGTTGGCAGGATCAGAGACAGGCTCTGGGAGGATCACTCTGATTTCGTTTTCAGCTTATGTTCAAAACAATCCCGTTTAAGCCACTAAATTAGTTTAGTCCGGTTATACATACAACCGCGAACAGCACATGTTGTCCCTGAGCTCCGTAACGACATCTCTCATAAAGATTTGCGTCTTTAAATAGTAAAATAATTCTCCGAAAAACAGCTAGCCTCTTGGCTAACTAACACACAAAATACCATTGGAATGCTACTTCCGCCGCGTCACCGGAACTTTCACCCACTTTATTTTTTACAGGAGCGCCCCTCGGAAACTTGTGGATACTGCGCCTGGAAAAAATGAGCGCTTCGCTTCAATTATGAGCGCGCTCGGCGCTTGATGCGCGCCTACATTTGAAACGTACTTGAGCGTGCAAAATATATGAGCAGGCGAGCTACCACCACCAAATCAGGCCACAGCTACTGATAGCTCGCGAGCGACGTGTTGGATACCCCTGCTCTAAAACAATGTGAGAATAATTATTTTGAGTTTGTAATATGTGTTGTGTCTGAACTATCGTTCAATGAACGATAGTTAATGAACTCGTTCATATTTTGGGCGAACGTGAACTGAACGTAGCCTACTGTATTACTGCCTGATGAACGTTACAGTGAACTCGTTCATTCAAGTGGTTGTGAACCGAGGAGCGAGGAGGCGTCGTAAGATCATTTAAAAGGCTTTTATGAGGTCGGTGAGGATGGGAAAATCGTATGTCTGTGCAAACTTTGCCTGTCGAATAAATGATTGTTATCTGTAGTTGTATATGGGTTGTGGCAATAATAATAGCCTAATAATAAAAAAGAAGCTCGCAGCAACATATGGAAAAAAATAACTAGTTCATTTTTGAAATATGAACTGAACTAGTTCATTTTAAAATTTGTGAATTGAACTTTGAACTAGTTCATGTAATGAACTTGGTCCAACAGGTTGATAAGAAGGTTTGCGTTGATATGTGCAAAGTCAGTAATTTGCCTGAGACACGTGTGTATTTGTATTTCAAAAGCAGTAATTGTTTTTCTAAGTATAATAAAAGGAAATGTGCCTTTTGGAAAAAAAAAAAAAAAATCAATATAATAGTGTTGTATAAAGACAATAAAAAGCAAATATGACTATCATCACAACAAAGATGTGTATAAGAAAAAGACAAAGAAAGTTTGTAAAACTGTCAACTGTCAGAAGGACAGCTCATGAAGAACCATTCATGTACAGAAAGGAATATTCAAATTCAGAGGAACAGTTCAGAAGAAACGTTAATAATAAAGATTGGATCAGTTGTGCTCCATTTTTGGAATACTTAAATATAATTTGTTTTATTTTTTGGAATACTTGATGCGGCCCGGCCTGACCCAGACTCTATCTCCAGCGGCCCCCAGATAATTTGAGTTTGAGACCCCTGGTGTAGTCATTTAAATTAAGAAATTGTATAATAAATTACCTTTCCGAAACAAAAGACATTTCGAGGAAGGAACAATATAATCATCATGTTTCCTCTGAGGTAAAAGCAGCTGTGCTCATTGTCAGTCGTTAGCATGGAAAAATCTTGTAAAAACTCGTCGCTTCCGTGACGTCAGAGCCATCATCGACGACTGATGACGTATCAAGTTCATGAAGGGTTGTTCCATTTCGTAGGGGAATATTTCAACCCCTTGGCCCTTGTAACTCTGTTTTAAGGGCCAAGAGGTACACCCGAAAACAAGGGGTGAATTGGGACTGAGCCTTAGTGCTTCCACAGGATACACACTAAAGACGTGGAGGATTATTCAACCAACGAATTAGATTTCACAAACGTTATTCCTATCGACCAGCATGTAGCACGGCTGGTTTCCTTTCTCTTGATTCATACAAACGCAACTGGTCCCATCTTGCTTTTAAATTACCGATTGTATTGAAAATAAAACTTGAGTATTTCACTAATACCCTTTACAGGTTATTTTGCGATAACTCACCCATTATTATCTTGTACATTAGGACTTAAAGTTCAATCTATTGCTGACACAAAGGTGTTGCATGGATTCAGATGCATTCAGACTTGTAATGGGTACACTATTCCTTTCAACTGTTCCAAACAGATGTTTTCTGTAGATTCCCATCCCCCATCACCATTTGTCCTCTATTTGATTTATCCTTTTAATATCATTACGATTAGACCTTCAAAACTGAGCCATGCACAATCTTAAAGGGATTTGAGGTCTACTGTTCCTCAGTTTGCATGTAGTGCAGTAAATACAGCGCTGAGAACAGTTCAGTCCCGGTAAAGGTCATTCGTGTCATCTGGGACTAAGTTTCGAATGGAAATCCAGTGTTTTTCACTGTGAGCCCTGCTAAATAGACTGGGAGGAAAATGTCAGCACTGTTTTAGCTTGACAAAGTGCCTTGCTGTTTCAAAATGAGCAGCTGTTCACAGTGCACTCCTAAATAGACGGCTAACTGAGGGCATTTCAAATTTGTGAATGAATGAGTTGATTTGAAAGGACATTGACCAGCTAAGCTATTCCATTTAAAAACTAGCATTGACTTAGTCGCCTCAAAGGCCCATTGTCTGAGCTTTTAGCAAATGGTCGGAAAACAAAGTGAGCTTTCACGATTCAGACACTGTTCAGTAATTCTGACTTTTTATATAAATAAAAATGTATTTATTTGTACACCGAATAAACTGCTTTTACACAGAGAGCAAATAGCATTTGTTATCGAAAGAGTTTAGTGATTAAATGAGTTAAGTCAAAAAAACTAAGGGTGATTTGGGAGTCTTTCCATTTAATATTGTAAATAGTCACTTAGTGTTAATGTAGTGTGACATCATCTCTCCAAAGGACATTTCAAATTTGTATATGCTAGTGCAGTGCCCATGCAAAATCAGTTTTTGTGTGTGTTTTTAATAATTGTTGGTTTGGTGTGTTTGAGTGCTCATTGTTACAATTACACAGCGAAAGTTCAGTGACATTTTTATTTGTGCATGGTAGAAAGCAAATGAAGAGTTCAGATGCAAAAGCCTCTAAATGCCATTTGAAATTTTCTTCTTTAATGATGATTTTTATCAAACTTGTATATTTAAGTTCAGTAATTTCACTTAAATAACAATTAATAGGTAATTATCATTGCCATTTAAGTGAAATTACTGAACTTAAATATACAAGTTTGATAAAAATCATCATTAAAGAAGAAAATTTCAAATGGCTTTTAGAGGCTTTTGCATCTGAACTCTTCAAATACTGATACTGACATAATGACATACAATAAATATGGAAAATTGAACTACATGGTTGCATGTAAATTTATAATGGTGATGTATGGTGACATGTATTTGGGTATCTGTGCAGGTAGCAGGAGATTAGATTAGATTTACATGAGTTTGAGCTTTGTTGTCATTGTGCAGAGTACAATTATAGAGACAATGAAAGGCAATATATATATATATATATATATACATGCATACATACACACACACACACACACACACACACACACACACACATATATATATATATATATATATATGAAGAGTTCAGATGCAAAAGCCTCTAAATGCCATTTGAAATTTTCTTCTTTAATGATGATTTTTATCAAACTTGTATATGTAAGTTTAGTAATTTCACTTAAATAACAATTAATAGGTAATTATCATTGCCATTTAAGTGAAATCACTGAACTTAAATATACAAGTTTGATAAAAATCATCATTAAAGAAGAAAATTTCAAATGGCATTTAGAGGCTTTTGCATCTGAACTCTTCATATATATATAATTTATAATGTTACATTTGAAACCTTTTTTGAAACATGAGTTTACAGAGGGAATTTGCATTAATCACCGTTTCAGACTTACTGGGGACAGAAGTTGGTTTACATGGGGGCACACCCACAGAAGTTAACAAGATATCTCTTAACTCTCCACACCTTCTTACCTTTTTGGTTTACTTCTGTGGGAATGAGATCTTTGTACCAGTCACACTGAGACATTTCAAATGATACCAAACATGTATAATACTTTATGATAATTGTTCATATTAAACCATATTGATTTTTGGGTGAATTCAGGTAGGGATGGGTGAAGGGAATGATGTGTATATTGGGAGGTGATCAACTCGAGTGTGTCTCGAATGGGGATGGTAATATAGCAACAGAGTTCAAATGTTAATTTACTTTGTTTCAGAGAGTATCCCTCTCTTCCAGTTCTTCCAGTTTCTCCAGTCTTACAACATAATCATTTTTATATATTGTACAAACAGTATATTCTATCCACTAACCCTAAACCTACCCATCACATTTTCATTTTCCAAAACCTAATTTAGTATGATTTATAAGCTATTTTCCCTCATTGGACAAAAAAATATTTCTAGAATGGCCATCCTTGGTCCGTCCATACCACACAAACACTCTTTTGAAATGGTACACACCTGTCTTCACCTGAAATGACTCTGATTAACTGCAAATAAACCTCAGCTCTTCTTTTCTGACATCTTGGTTGCATGCTACTACAAGAGCAATGGGCCACAAAGAGTTAATGAAACATCAACTTTAGCTTTTCTTTTACATTTAAAGGTGCAAACGTTCTGATATGGTTTATCTTTGTTTCATTTCGTCACAAAAAACAGCTATTTTAAAAGGGGTGTGTAGACTTTTTATATCCACTGTATACCCAGGCATTTCTTTATGAGATTTTTCCTGCTGATGTAATGTAAATATATTTTTAAAAAACATTTTTTGCTCTCTAAATGTGCTGATTTTCTTGAACAGAGGGACCTTGTGGGTAACAAAAACATTGTTGGTTTCCTGGACTCCAACATCACAGCAGTTGGATCGGGAGATGTTTGGGAAGTTCTCATACTGATGGACTTCTGTAGAGGTCAGTGTGTTTTTCCCACTGCTTTTAGTGTTCTAGACTGTAATGTAACACTTTTGTTCATGTGGTGATCCAGGTGGGCAGGTGGTGAACCTGATGAACCAGCGCTTACAGACTGGATTCAGTGAGCCAGAGGTGCTGCAGATCTTCTGTGACACATGTGAAGCTGTCGCTCGACTACATCAGTGCAAAACTCCCATCATCCACAGGGACCTCAAAGTATGAACTCTCTCCAGACATTTATTATTCTGTTAATTTCTTGAAGAATTAGTTCACCCAAAAATGTAAATTCTGTCATTATTTAATCACCTCCGTTTCGTTCCAAACCTATATGAGTTTCTTATGAAACACAAAATAAGTGTTTTCGCTCCTCTTTTCCATACAATTAAAACATACAGATGATGTTGTGTTTTGATGACTCAAATTTTAATATTTTAAAATGTACTGAGTGAAGTATTGCTTTAACCCTGTAAAGCCTGACATACAAAATATTTTTTTGGAATGAACAGGTTTATTGAATAAGGTGCGAGAGGCTGTGCTGTATCGTGAATAAGTAACGGCAGAGGGCGCTGTTAGGCTCGACGCGAAGCGGAGTAACCCCTTCAGCCGTTACTTATTCACGATACAGCACTTGCCTCGAGAACCTATTGCTTTTATTAAACGGTTACCACACAATAAAAATGTTTAAGTAAAAAAAAAAATAATAATTATTAGTGCAACTTTCATTAAAGCCACAGTATGCAGCTTTTTTGTGAAACAGCAATCCCTAGAGCCACTGTGGTGTACTTGCAAATAACCGTAACTGCCCTGTTACTGCAGTCTACTGAACTACTGATGATGGTAATAGGTTAATAATAACTATATGTCAAGTGTTAAACTACTTTATTATAATAAAGTTGCCTATCCCGTTTGCTGGCTTATAACGTTTTTTACATGATTTCTGCTAAATCACAAGTAAATAGCCTATAGTGTAGGACTACTGTATAATTTCATTTGTGGGTTTTTTTATTGTAATGTAAACATTGCAAAATGTCAGATGACATCAATAAAGTTAAATGCACGTTGCATTATTTCATAACATTGGCTGTTATGATTTCATTAGACATGATTATTACAATTTATCATAATAGTTAGCGAATTGTGCTCAATTACACTATTTACAACCTCTAGGCTTATATATGTCCTAATGATAATCTGAGATATTGACTGTCCTCATGATAATCGCAGGAATCAACATCAACAGCGTCAAGATTTAATTGACTCATAATCAACACAATTTGAAGTAAAGTTACAGTCGGGAAGTGCACTGTTAGTCAGATTAAGTTTGTATAAGCACAGTACGCATGCCATAAGAAATTCAAACCAGACACAGGACTAACGTTACGTGATAAATACACATCTCAACACCTGAGTTCAGCTAGCAAACTAGCTCTTTAGCCAAGCTAGGCAATAAAACAACGGAAAAAAAAACTAAGAGAAACGACTGTTTGTTAGGAAGTCTGCTTACAGCTCTGGTAATCAAAATCTAGCTAGACATACAGTGGTATGAGTAAGTTTTGGCACCGATGCTAAAGTTGCCTAAAAAGAGGAATAAAAAAATCATCTTTTGGATATTGATCTTAATGCCTTAATTAGAAAAATGAGGAAAAGTCCAACCTTTAAGGACACCAATTTTCTTTGTGAATGAATAATGTATCATAAATAAATAAATGTTTTTCCTTAAAATACAGGGTGCATAAGTCAGGGCACCCCTATGTTAAATTCCCATAGAGTCAGGCAGATTTTTATTTTTAAAAGCCAGTTATTTCATGGATCCAGGATAATATGCATCCTGATAAAGTTCCCTTGGCCTTTGGAATTAAAATATCCCCACATCGTCACACACCTTCCACCACACCTAGAGATTGGCACGGTTTTACTTCAGTTAGCCTAATAGCCGGTTTGATTTGCATTGAAAGATGATCTTATGGAAAGTACCCCATGCCAATCTCTAGGTGTGGTGGAAGGTGTGTGATGATGTGGGGATATTTTAATTCCAAAGGCCAAGGGAACTTTATCAGGATGCAAATTATCCTGGATCCATGAAATAACTGGCTTTTAAAAATAAAAATCTGCCCGACTCTATGGGAATTTAATTTAACATAGGGGTGCCCTGACTTATGCACCCTGTATTTTAAGGAAAAACATTTATTTATTTATTTATTTATTTATGATACATTATTCATTCACAAAGAAAATTGTTGTCCTTAAAGGTTGGAGTTTTCCTCATTTTTCTAATTAAGGCATTAAGATCAATATCCAAAAGATGATTTTTTATTTCTCTTTTTAGGCAACTTTAGCATGGGTGCCAAAACTTATTCATACCACTGTATGTGGGAATTATTGAACTGGTCTAATTATCATCAACGGATGAATGATGAATGAACAGCACCGTAACAAATGACATACTACAAGCCAGCGCAGCAACATACAACATACGCAAACAAGTTTACAAATGAGAGATTTACTTACAAGTCCGTTAAAGGGTTAGTTCACCCAAAAATGAAAATTGAGTCATTAATTACTCACCCCCATGCTGTACCAACCCCGTAAGACCTTCGTTCATCTTCGGAACACAAATGAAGATATTTTTGATTGAATCTGAGAGCTGGATCAGTCCTACATAGACTTCCTAAGGGACTGGCTCTTGAGGGCCCATAAAGTCATTAAAGAAAAGGTTTAAATATTCCATGTGCCTACAGCGGCTCAATTATAAATTTATCAAGCGACAAGACTACTTTTTGTGCGAAAAAAAACATAAATAACGACTTTATTCCATTACTTCCTTATGGGCGCATGCGCGAGAACTGAGACGAGAACATTCTCATTCGTTTACTTCTTGTTACCGGCTGCTCACCGCTTAGGAGTTTTACCGCCCCCTACCGGTTATTATCTGACTTACTTTTTATGATTGTGCACTTTTTCATTTTTACCGGTTTTATTTATTTATTTGAGTACTGTTAAGCTTTTCAAAAACAAAGGCAGAACTTATCCCACATGTCTGCTTTCTTTGGCTGTTTTAGGTGGAGAACATCTTGCTGCATGACAGAGGTCATTATGTGTTGTGTGATTTTGGCAGTGCCATTAACCGCCCCCAGAATCCACAAGCAGAAGGTGTAGCGGCTGTAGAAGAAGAAATCAAGAAGTGAGCATCATTCTTTGTTTATATCGCAAACCACAGTTTTACTTTTTTACATCAATTAAATCTTTTACTCTGTGTGTGTGTTTAAGGTACACTACTCTTTCATACCGCTCCCCAGAAATGGTGAATCTTTATGGGGGCAAAGTTATCACTACTAAAGCAGATATATGGGTACGTTAAATGGGTGAGACTTTTAGAGAATAATTCTGTTATCTACAACAACAGTGTGTTTCAGTTACCAAAGCTTTGGCCAGCCTTCCCTTTGATAGTGTTTTTAAAAAGATAGTGTTTGTGTGTTTGTGTCCTCAGGCTTTGGGCTGCTTGTTGTATAAGTTGTGTTATTTCACGTTGCCGTTTGGAGAGAGTCAGGTGGCCATCTGTGACGGCAGCTTCACCATTCCAGACAACTCCCGCTACTCGCACGACATGCACTGTCTCATCCGTAAGTTACGCCCTTGATTCGTTATCTGATTAGATTTTATTTAGTTTTTATGTGCGTGTCCTAAATGCACATAATTAAATAGTGTTGTCAAAAGTACCAAGTCGGTACTGAAATTTAAAAAAAGGTGACGATACCAGTATTTCCCTACTGTTAAACCGCTCAACATATATGTCGGAAACATGCTTCAAAAACATGTTGTAAATAGACACTCTTCATCGAGTGCTTGCATAGATACACACGTATGAAAGTGGCGTCTATCACCAGATCGGTTTATCAGTGGATATATAGGGATCCACTTACTGACGCCTGCTTTAAAACGCTCCAGTGTGTATCTGTGTAAGCGCTCGGCAAAGCGCGTCATTGGCGTCTATTTACAACATGTATTTGAAGTGTTGATCATTATAGCCAATCACAGACATATATTGAGCGCATGAATGGCCAATCAGAGGTGTTTAAGAATCCGTTCAAAATGCCTGTCACATTATTAAAATGTTTGTACAAACTTGGTACCGTAGTCAGTACTTTTGACAACACTACAATTAGATAATATTTTCACACTTGCCTAGTTTGGCAAAATTACAGTTGATTTTGGAAATAATGTCCAGAACATATTCTGTTCAGAAATGATTTGTTTTAATAAAAACATTATTTGTGACAGAACTGTTGGTGGAAAAGATGCCACAACTGAGGGCAGTCATAATTTTTGATAAGTTTTTTGTAAAATTTTGTAAATAATTTTCATACAAAATATTTAAACTGTGATGATATAAATAAAAAGTGAAATAAACAAACTAATTTAATATTTATTGTATGTAAACATTTAATATTATGTAGACTACCGTCGTTAGTTTTGAGGTCGGCAAGATGTTTTTAAACAGAAACTAATCCTTTTATTCACCAAGAACCCGTTAAATTTAAAGACGTTAATAAGGTTACAAAATATTTATATTTCATCTAAATACAGTTCTTTTGAAAAGCTTTTGGCCTAAAATAAAGTGTCACCATTTCCACAAAAATATGCAGGACAACTGGTTTCAAAATATATTATAATAAGAAATGTTTCTTGAGTTGCAAATTTGCATATTAGAATAATCTGAAGGATCATGTGACACTGAAGACAGCTTTGCCATCTCAGGAATAAATATTATTACTGTTTGTTCTGATTATTATTAATGTTTCATAATATTACTGTTTGTTCTGTATTTTTTTATCATTATAAATGCAGCCTCAAGAGCATAATAGACTTTTCTTATTTAATATATATATATTATTGCCCACAACCTTTGAATAATAGGGAATATCATATTTTGGGACAAAGGCTTTATACAAAGTTTTGTCATGAAACTCTAGATGGCGCAGGCTGAGAGGTCTTTAACTCAACCTGCTGGCAATCACATCATTCTCTAAAGGGCGCAGCTGATTGGTTCCTGCTGTATCAGCAGCCAATGAGCTCACTGCTCAACATTCAAATACATGGCCAGCGTCTGTTGTAGCAGTGCAGCGCGCTTTCAGAAACCCTCCACCTTCCCCAGCTCCACCTCTATAACTGCTACAGGTCTGCTATATTGTGCAACAGCAGCGTGTCTTACTTGCTCACAGCAGCGTATCGTGTACGTGTGTATCTATTCCGCCATTACCAAATATATTAACATTGTTATATCCATTGTCATGCCAAACCCTCTGAGAGTTGTCATGACAGAAATATACTTATGCCAGCATTTAAAAGGTAGCAAAAACAAATAAAGACACACACAAAAAGAAACTTTAAAGGAGTAGTTCACTTTTGAAAAAACTTTTGCTGATGATTTACTCACCCCCATGTCATCCAAGATGTCCATGTCTTTCTTTCCTCAGTCGAAAAGAAATTAAGGTTTTTGATGAAAACATTCCAGGATTTTTCTCCTTATAATGGACTTCAATGGGAACCAGGTCCAACCGAGGTCCAAACGACAGTTAATAACAGTTTCAGATGCAGCTTCAAATGTCTTTAAACGATATCAGACGATGAATAAGGGTCTTATCATGCGAAACGATCGGTTATTTCAAAGCTTATTCCAAAAATGTAACTTTTCTAAGGACAAATGCTAGCCTTGTAATATATTGTGAGGCGCGTTTGCAACGTCACGTAATACGTAATTATGTTCAAAAGGTCACGGGCGACGTAGCCGGAAGTACAGAATCAAAATCGTCCGACATCGTTGTTTTACCTTTTGATTCCTTTTTTGTAAACGGCGTTTGAGTTAGTTTTCACGTTCAACCTATGCGTTCAACTTGTAAACACTCTGACTCTGTACTTCTGGCTACGTCGCCCGTGACCTTTTGAACATAATTACGTATTACGTGACGTTGCAAACGCGCCTCACAGAATGGAGAAAGGCTAGCATTTGTCCTTAGAAAAGTTACATTTTTGGAATAAGCTTTGAAATAACTGATCGTTTCGCATGATAAGACCCTTATTCATCGTTTGGTGTCGTTTAAAGACATTTGAAGCTGCATCTGTAAGTGTTATAACTGTCGTTTGGACCTCGGTTGGACCTGGTCCCCATGGAAGTCCATTATAAGGAGAAAAATCCTGGAATGTTTTCATCAAAAACCTTAATTTCTTTTCGACTGAGGAAAGAAAGACATGGACATCTTGGATGACACGGGGGTGAGTAAATTATCAGCAAAAGTTTTTTCAAAAGTGAACTAATCCTTTAATGTGACCTTCATATAACACAAAGAGGGGGAAAAGTAACACATTTTCTAGATTTACCAAAGCTGATTTTTACCTTTTATTTTACCCATCAGGTTACATGCTGGAGCCAGACCCAGATGTCAGGCCAGATATCTACCAGGTGTCATATTTCGCCTTTAAACTGGCACGGAAAGAATGTCCTGTACAGAATATCGACGTAAGACCTGCTCATTCAGACTGTGACGAATGACTTAAGATCTCTCTTCCTTCTTCCTGTGCTATACCCTGCGCTTTGCCCTGATCTTCTCACCTATTTTCCTGTCACACTCTTTTCCAGCTCATTCTTCTTAATCCATGTTTAATTCATGCCCAATCCTTTCAGTAGATATAGTAAGCGTTTGCACGTAGCGGCAGAGGAAGTGGAATGTCGCTTTTGGCTGCCATTTGGCCCAGATCCAGTGGTCCCTCCCTCCCACTCTGAGCGGTATTGATAGCATAATGGAAGCATTGAGTCATGATCAAAGACATATTAACATTGGCACCGCAAAGTGTTGCTTAGAGTTCAATAGGAATGACCTCCAACAAACAGCTTTTTCAGTGTTGCTGCCACAAAAAGACTTGTTGGAAAATAACAATAATAATTCTCCCTGTAAAGTTAGTCTGATACAAGTCATATTTTTGTTATTAAAGAATTAGTTCACTTAATTTACTCACCCCGACGTCATCCAAGATGTTCATGTCTTACTTTCCTCAGTCGAAAAGAAATTAAGGTTTTTGAGGAAAACAGTCCAGGATTTTTCTCCATAGTGGACTTCAATGGGGTACAACAGTTTGAAGGTCCAAATTGCAGCTCCAAAGCCTCTACACGATCCCAGCCGAGTCTTAAAAAAGAGTCTTATCTAGCCAGATGGTTTGGCTAAGACCCTTATTCCTCGGCTGGGATTGTGTAGAGTCTTTTGAAGCCGCATTTAAACTGTAATTTGGACCTTCAAACTGTTGTACCCCATTGAAGTCCACTATATGGAGAAAAATCCTGGAATGTTTTCCTCAAAAACCTAAATTTCTTTTCGACTGAAGAAAGACCGACATAAACATCTTGGATGACGTGGGGGTGAGTAAATTATAAGGACTTTTTAATTCTGAAGTGAACTAATCCTTTAAGCACATGGGAAATCTTACTGTAATGTAAACGGGTATTTTAGGGTTGGGAAATCACCCTGATTGTCTATCCAATGAGGTTTCCCTGACTCAAATATATACCATTGCCAATTAACATGCCTTTATTACACGTTTGTGTTTGTGCCAACAACATGACACTTAGGGAGTGAGACACCTGACTACATAAATAACTTCATAAATTAAAGGCAGGGGAGGTAGAAATTTTCTAAAAAAACTTTTTCCCAAATTTGTTTAAACTGTCTATATACTGTATACCAGTGATGCGCGGGTTGATCCAAAATGAGCGAGTGCCTGCGGTCACCCGCGGATATCCACAGTTACGAGTCATCCAAAAATATTCTTAATGATATCCGTGTTGCGGTCGGTTGGGTCGTTTGAAAAAAGATGCCAATTAAACCTTTGTATTTATATAGTACTAGAAACAATTTTACTAGAAACAATGAAATATATAGACCCCTTTTGCGCCGACGTCACAGTTACGTCACGGCGCTAGCTGGAGGCAAAACAAAGTGAAAACTGGAGGCGGTCAATGCAAAACAGCACAGATTCGGCTACATAATAAGGAGCTTAAATAATTGTTACTAGTATTAAATGTCATCTTGTTGTGTTGTTTGGTCCAAGAATTGATGAAAAATGAATATGCTGTATCTGGAACTTTTATTTCTAGAAAATATTCACATCATTAAAATCGCATTGTAATGTCACTCTTTACATTGTCGTGGTCTCGGAGCTGGCTCTCCAGAACTGCGGATCGTACACACAAGTCTTGTACAGGACCATATAGGCATCTAAAGATTTATATGCCCTCAGTTTCTCTTTACGATCGGTTTCTCTATAAGGTAGGTGTAGAAGTCTAGGCCACTCAACCGAGGTAACGTACGTTAATCCTGTCAGATCATCCACGCATTGAGTGAGCGTGTAGGCGGCTACAGGTCGGCCAATCTGGTTCCGTCCGTTAAAAATAAGTTTTGGAAATAACAATCGCGGTCCTGGACAGTGAGTGACCTTACACATTAAGATAATATCAGATTTTCTCCAGTCATTGTTAAAAAAACAAGCTAACAATCCTTACTAACTAGCGTTAGTGAAGCGGCCAGATGGATCTTTCTGCCTCCACCTAAGCTCCACCCACAAAAAAACATCACCATGTTTACCAACTGTAAAAGGGTCCATAGGCCTACACTTTATTGGCTGAATAACTGGCACGAAGATGACGCACAAGCTCAGTCTAAACAGTTCTCGGTTCTGGACTGGTGATCCGAGAAGAACCGTTCGGGAGTACGTGGATGCGCAGTAGCCTATCAGCTGCTTGTGTTCATCACTTCTCTCAGCAGTGGCACTAACATGTCTCGGTTCAGTGAACTGTTGGAGTTACTGGAGTAAAATATAATTCGGGATATTGGTTTATTTCGATTCGGAGGGACTGCCAGGCATGTCTGAAAGTGAATAACTTTATTAACTTGTGGATCGATCAGCACTGATGCAAGACGCGAACTGTTTTGAACGATTCAGTTCGATTTAGTGTACTGGTTTGACCGGTTCATTGAAAAGAACCGGTTCAAAAGAACAAATCGTTCACGATTCGTGTCTATGATTACTACAGTCTGCAGAGAGATGGAGGCGGCAAGAGAAAAGGTGAAGACTGGGGAGTGGAAGCTCCGCAAATACACAAATATACAGAAATAATGAAAGATGATGACCAAAGTGCTGGCTTTGTTATGTGTAACTTTACGTCTTCTTCTTGCGATGCTGTGTTGTTACACACGTCTATGGCCCAATGACGCTACGATGAGCATTTATACTTTTAAAAAATGCGGTCAGGAAGCGGGTCAGGTACAATATTTTGTTTACAATATCTTTTTTTGCGTTTTTCTTTTTCATGCGTTTTGGAGGCGTGGCTTTGTAAGCATAGACGTTGGAACAGTCTATGGCCTGTGGCCGTCCCCCCCCTCCTCCGACGTAAAGGCGATTAAAGTGCGCGTCCGAGTGAAGACTGCGCGCCACAGAGAACATAGCCTACAACTGACAGCAGCGGCAACAAGCGTTCCTCTTGATTTCAAAAACAAAACATGTTAGCGCTAGATCTCTTATTTAAACGAACTAAATTAATGCTCTGCTTAACAGGTTATGTTTTATTCATGTTTAAAACGTTTTATTTTCCGATATATGGTGACTCAAGCACTGATGGATCAAGGAGCGGTCCATCAGTTGAGTCACCATATCGGAAAACATTTGGAATGGGTCAGACATAGCCCACAGTAATTCTGACTTATTATGTTTTTTAAAAGAATTTCGTTTTTATAAATTGTATTTCATTTTAATCAATGGTTTTAATCAACAAGTTGACTGATAAATTCTCAGAAAATGGATTTAATACCAATATTTTGAAACGGTGCGTAATTCCGTGTATCTTATAAATTGTATTTCATTTTAATCAATGGTTTTAATCAACAAGTTGACTGATAAATTCTCAGAAAATGGATTTAATACCAATATTTTGAAACAGTGCGTAATTCCGTGTATTTTATAAATTGTATTTCATTTTAATCAATGGTTTTAATCAACAAGTTGACTGATAAATTCTCAGAAAATGGATTTAATACCAATATTTTGAAACGGTGCGTAATTCCGTGTATTTTATAAATTGTATTTCATTTTAATCAATGGTTTTAATCAACAAGTTGACTGATAAATTCTCAGAAAATGGATTTAATACCAATATTTTGAAACGGTGCGTAATTCCGTGTATCTTATAAATTGTATTTCATTTTAATCAATGGTTTTAATCAACAAGTTGACTGATAAATTCTCAGAAAATGGATTTAATACCAATATTTTGAAACGGTGCGTAATTCCGTGTATCTTATAAATTGTATTTCATTTTAATCAATGGTTTTAATCAACATGTTGACTGTTAAATTTTTAGAAAATGGATTTAATACCAATATTTTGAAACAGTGCGTAATTCCGTGTATCTTATAAATTGTATTTTATTTTAATCAATGGTTTTAATCAACATGTTGACTGTTAAATTTTTAGAAAATGGATTTAATACCAATATTTTGAAACAGTGCGTAATTCCGTGTATCTTATAAATTGTATTTTATTTTAATCAATGGTTTTAATCAACAAGTTGACTGATACATTTTTAGAAAATGGATTTAATACCAATATTTTGAAACAGTGCGTAATTCCGTGTATTTTATAAATTGTATTTCATTTTAATCAATGGTTTTAATCAACAAGTTGACTGATAAATTCTCATAAAATGGATTTAATACCAATATTTTGAAACGGTGCGTAATTCCGTGTTACGCCCCATTTACGCAAACATTTACTTTAGCATGTTCATGCACAAGTAATTGGCGCATCTTACTCAGTGTTATTTTAGTATTCTTTATATACTATTATAATATGTATTCATATTTTGAATGAGCTTTTATTTTTATTTCAAGTTTTAGTAGTTTTGTTATGTGCTTTTGTAATTTTTTTAAATTTCGGTTTAGCTTTATTTTTTATTTTTTAGATGTAGTCATTTTATTAAGTTTTAGTAATGAAGCTATTTCAGATATTTGCCAAGGCAACATTTTTAGTTTATCTAATATTTATATTTTATTTCAGCTTTACTTTTAATAGTTTTTTTTTCCTATTTAATAGTTTTAGTTTTGGTTGTATAACCTCAATTTAACAACACCATATTGGTAATAAGTAGAAGTCCTAAATTCCACTCAGCATGTTTTTGTGTTTTTGTGTTGAATTTCAGAAATCTCAGAAATAAGATGAGTTGCAAATGTTTCATGTTGACTAAAGACAATCATATACAACATATAACAATGTGATGGTAATTATAAAATTGCTCTCATTCCACTAGAATTCACCCATTCCAGCAAAACTCCCAGAGCCAATCAGAGCCAGCGAAGCCGTGGCAAAGAAGAGTCAAAACAAAGCCAGGTGAGACTTGAGACTTTTATTTATCTGTGTGGTCACAACTGTTTTTACCTTTTTTTTTTTTCTTCTTTAATCTTTGGATGCATATAGTGATGCAGGGATTATGTGAAATAAGGCTTTTGGTAAACATAACTTGACAAATAGTTTTGTTCTACAGTGTAAATTGCACACACATACTCACATTTTTATGTAGGAACTTATTAGAAACAAATGTTTTTCGATATGGGTGGGTGCAGTTTACATTGTAGAACAAAACGTTCAAGTATAGTCATGTTGTTTACCGCAGACCTTCACTAAAACCCCATTATAAAAACCGAGATCGGAAAATTTGGATTAATCTTCCAGGTTTTGACGTCCTCCCTGCAGCATTCTTATATAGTGGTAGTTCTGACTTGACTTTAACTTTCTTTTTTTTGTCATTCAGGCTCACTGATCCAATCCCCACTCTTGAAACGTCCATAGCGCCACGGCAACGTCCCAAGGCTGGCCAGGCTCAACCAATCGCAGGCATCCTGCCCATCCAACCAGCACTCACCCCTCGTAAAAGAGCCAATGCACCTGCAGGACCCAACCAGCCAATCAGTGAGTTTAAATTTATGCTCCTTTATCCAAAATCGAACACTATCTAGGCATCACCACCACCCGAACAACCCCATTCGTGTGGCTACAGTCCTTCATCTCTTCCGGCTCGCTCTCTTTTTTTCACGTTTACTCTCGTATCCAGGCGACACTTCACCTGTTGTATTGACCGGCTTGCGTCTTTGGCTGACACACACAACTCTAGTATTCCCACTGGTTTAATCAGTGTGTTATTAGAGAGAGCTTTTAAAACCTCTCTGTTGAGCTCCTGACACACTGAATGCTTCTGAGCTGACATTTCACTTCTTATTTCTGGTCAATGTTAATTAAAGCGTTACACGGCTCATTGATAATGAATATACTGACGTATTGTTATCCTGAATGAGATTTAGCAGCAGATTATCCGGGTCTGTCTTAATTTAGGATGATGTTTCATTTTTATCAAGTAATTTATTATAGCTGAAATGCAAATGCTTCACAAAGTAACGAAATTGCTACCACACAGACCGAAATTTATTCTTTTTAATGTACAGAAACAGCAGCAAAGACAGAAAAGCAGTTTCTAATAAGTGCTATTCTTATCAACTTTCGATTGATCAAAGAATCCTGAAAAAAATGTATTTTTTTCACAAAAATATGAAGTAGCACAACTGTTTTCAACATTGATGTTAAACAGAAATGTTTCTTGAGCAGCAGATCAGCATATTAGACTGATTTCTGAAGGGTCATGTGACACTGAAGAGTGGAGTAATGATGCTGAAAATTCAGCTGTGATCAAAGGAATGAATTACATTTTTAAGTATATTGAAATAAAAAAAGTTCACAATATTCTTTTTTTTCTGTATTTTGATCAAATTCATGGCGCTTTGCAAACCATAAGACACTTCTTAAAAAAAAAGAAAAAAGAAGACCAACCCCAAACTTTAAAATTGTAATTTAAGTGAATATTTGGTTGTTGGAAATCTGAATAAAAACATGTGGCTTATACCTGTATTAAATGTAATTCCTTATTTCATAAACACTTTGTATGATGTATGTATATTTGGAATATGTCATGTAAAGACATTAACCTGTTGACCATAAGTTGATGATTAAAATACTGTGTAGAATTACAAAATAATGCTGAGTAATAAATAACAGTGAGGGTCTCAAGTAGAGTAACTATGTATCATATATTGAATAGACAGATTTAAAAAAAATATATATATATATATGTGTGTGTGTGTGTGTGTGTGTGTGTGTGTGTGTGTGTGTGTGTGTACATATATATATATATATTTTTTTTTAAATATCAAATTACCGTTAAATCACGTTGTGAATATTCATCATCATGATCATGATTCATCATCAACTTTATTTCCAGACTGTTGGTCCAAGGGACCAAGAATACTTGGTCCAAAATACAAAAAAATACTGTGGTTTTGTTTTTTAATTTGTGTTTTTCTATTTGTTCACAGGTGTTAACATGGCTTCCCAGCCTGTTTCTCTTGCCCAATCACAGGTTCCTGTCGCTCAGCAACAAGCCACTCCTATTCCAATACAGGCCACGCCCTCTCCACCGCAAACCACACCCCAGCACACACAACTGTTTGTACAGCAGCAAAATGCAGCCTTCTTTACTGCTCAACAACAGGTAACTGCTACAAAAAAAAAACAAAACAAAAAAACACGTGGATATAATCTTACAAATAATATAGTTTAAAGTCATATTTAAACCATATTTACTTTTTTACTACACATTTATGTGTTACTGTGAACTTTCCCCTCATCGAACACCCAATTATCCTCATAAATATGTCACATTATGGAAGTAAAACAGTTGTGATTTTGGTTTCATGTGAATTTAAAGGGTTAGTTCACCCAAAAATGAAAATTAAGTCATTAATTACTCACCCCCATGCTGTACCAACCCCGTAAGACCTTCGTTCGTCTTCGGAACACAAATGAAGATATTTTTGATTAAATTTGAGAGCTGTATAACTACCACATTGGCTCCTAAAGGACTGCCTCTTGACGGCCCAGAAAGTCAATGAAGAAAATGTTTAAATATCCCAAGTGACTACCGTGGCTCAACTATATGTTTATCAAGCGACGCGAATACTTTTTGTGCGAAAAAACAAACAAAAATAACGAGTTTATTCGACTATTTCTTTTCTTCCTTGTAGGCCAGAACGAGACTTCCTTAGATTTCCACGACGCATGCGCGAGAATTGCGATCTGAAGTGGTGTAAGCTGATGTGAGCAGATCGCAAATCTCGCGCATGCGTCGTGGAAATCTAAGGAAGTCTCGTTCTGGCCTACAAGGAAGAAAAGAAATAGTCGAATAAACTCGTTATTTTTGTTTGTTTTTTCGCACAAAAAGTATTCGCGTCGCTTGATAAACATATAGTTGAGCCACGGTAGTCACTTGGGATATTTAAACATTTTCTTCATTGACTTTCTGGGCCGTCAAGAGGCAGTCCTTTAGGAGCCAATGTGGTAGTTATACAGCTCTCAAATTTAATCAAAAATATCTTCATTTGTGTTCCGAAGACGAACGAAGGTCTTACGGGGTTGGTACAGCATGGGGGTGAGTAATTAATGACTTAATTTTCATTTTTGGGTGAACTAACCCTTTAAGAATAATCATCTCTGAAATGCTACGTAGTGGATTTTAATTTTTACATTTGCAAAAAGAAGAAACGTTTTTGCACCATGTGATGTCAATTGTTGCACCTACCTCCTATTTTAGCAGCATCACTCAACGCAGACGAGCGCCAGTCCTGCACAAGCGGTTGCATCATCGTCCACCCCTGTTTCTACACACTCGAAACCTAAGAATAGGGCTCCCCCCCCACCCATACACCACCCTCAAACCAACCTCTTGACATTATCAGCAACCGCACAGACAAAAAGCAAAGCAACGGGCCCAACTCCACCTGCAGAGTGTTCACATAGTAATAACGTAGATGGTGATACCTCGGCCCAACCTAAAACCAAAGCTATGGCACCTCCACCCCCTTCAGCACATGCCTCCACCCCTCCTCCACCTAAAACCACCTCCACTGACTCTGAAGTGGACCCAGTGCAGAGGGTAACCCTCCCAACATCTGTGTGTGTTCTGTTAGAGTGATTCTCTTCACTTTCTAGAGCCTTTATCCTCGCTTGTTGACTTGCCATGCACCTTCAAACTTGCTCATATAGGGGATTCATTGCTGTAAAGATTTTGTTCATGCATTTTTTGCAAATCGTTTCTAAGGTTTACATTGTCATAAAATCAGTAGGAGTTGACGGTTACTGTATTATTATACATGCAGGGCTAGGTGTTATGTACAGCACAAGTGGAGTTCTATATAATAGACCTTAGTCAGGGTTGTCGTCATATTGAAATTTATTTAGATGAAAATGAAGCTGTGAGATATAAGTCTTTATAATGGCATGTAGTTTGTAAACTCAACTAGGGCTGCAGGATTGGATTGGGAAAAAAAAGTCAGAATTGCGAGTTATAAAGTCAGAATGCTGAGACGAAAAAGTTGCAATAATTTTTAAACTGTTTTATTTTGTGGTGGAAACAAGCTTCCATAACTACTATTACTAGTAAATAAAATAAATAAAAAATACTAAATGTAAAAAAATATAATAAATATTACTATTGTGATATTTAACTGTAAAATAAATAAGAAAACAAGTATTTAAGAAAGAGTAGTATTTGAATTTTACATTAGCTGTAAAATTATAATAATGATTTTTATGACTGTCTAAATTTTAAGCTTTTATTTAGACGAAATCACAGGGAAACTGAAAAACTTCTCTTTTGTTTATAAGAATTTACATGTATGGAAAGATGGTTGTGTTCTTAAAATACCTCAAAACGACCCAAATGCAGAGATGATGTTCGTGTGGATCAGCGTTTACTTTGAACCGATTCGTTTTGAGACACTGCAAACACTGGAAACACTTTTAAGCTAATACTAATGATTTTTACAAACGGAAATTAATCAATTGAAAATTTACTTAAACTAGACAATGACTTTCTTCTAGAGCTGCTGTAAAGCCAAAACAATCAATTGTTGCATTAATTTCCTGTCATCACTGTAAAGCTATTTTATAACAATTTGTATTATAAAAAGTGCTATATAAATGAAGGTGACTTGACTTGACTACTCAAACAGTTTCAAACACTCTGAAATACTTGGTGTATATTTAGTTAATTAAATATTGCACTTAAACGGTTCCATCAGCGGGTCAACTGGCACAACAACAACAACGCAACAGCCTCGTTTTAATTTCCGTCAAAAATGATATAAGGCGCTACCCTGACTAAAATCTATAACTTTGTCATTAAACATGTGACGTTCATCTTTGTTAACTCTCATGTCATTCCAAACTCATCTCATTTAAAACATGAAAGGAGACGTTTAGCAGAATATTCACATAAAGTGAAAGTATTTTAAATACCAATTTTACAAATTTAAAAATGTGATTCAGGAGAAAAGCCCTTTGCTCTATTCTTAAGTTTAATTTGGGTTTGTATATTGGTCGTCTAAGTTTGTCACAAACGAGATTTGAGGGCAATGGCAAAGAATTTTTAGAAGATTTTCAATGAATAACGACTTGCATTTCATTTCGGTCGGTCCCTATGGCTTCCAAAGAGCTGAAATGAATCGTATGTACTACTTCAATAAGGCTGTGAAGCACAACTTCAACAGCCCAAGTCCATATCCTCTTCCATTGTGGACAAAATGTAAAAATCATCATACGGAATAACATGAGGGTGAATAAATTAAATGTCCTAAATGTCCCATTCATCTAATAATACATTTAATCTTTCAAAGGTGAACCTTTGGCATTTTCTCATTTCACAGATCAACTTTTTTCAACAAATCAGTGAAATTTCAGATTTGTCTTTTTTTCAAAGCTCTCTTTCTGTACCTTTAAAGACTGAATGACTCGTTTGCATATTTCAGAAATGAAATTCCTTTATAAATATTCTTCATCTTCCACAGGCTTTAATGATGCTTTGTCTTTATACTTTTCTTTATGTAAAAGTCCATCGCTGGAAGTCGTGGGATGCATAAAGTCGGATCTTTGACTCCACCCTCTTCTCCTAAGACCGCCCCAAAGGGAGGCCACAGACGAATTCTGAGTGATGTCACACACAGCACCATATTTGGAGTTCCTGTGAGCAAGTCCACTCAACTGCTTCAAGCCGCTGCTGCAGAGGCCAGCCTTAATAAGTCCAAGTAAATCAAGAAAATACTTTGTTATACTTCGGTTTTAACCTCCAGCATTGGGTAAAGATTGTATTGGAGTAAACACTACTGTACATTGACAGTAGCAGTCATTTTTGACCGCAAACAGTACAAGTGTGACTATTTTTTTCAGGACAATTTAACCTTTTCAAATCATATCCATGAGTTTTGTGGATGTGTGTTGTGTTCACATAGCAATTGCCAAAACCTTTACCAAGTTTTGTACCACTCTGATGAGGTAAAAAATAACAAAACATAAACATTTTCAGTCAAAAATGGCTGAGCAACACCAGAGGGTTAAGCTGTTTAAAAAAAAAATCAGCACGGTTGATTCATTATTTTTTGATTGCTAAAGGTTTAAGGCCAGTCACATTTATCTCTCTCACCAATGTGAAATCGGTGAAATTTTGACTGCAATTGAACACACTCAGTTGGCCGAAAAGGCTCAGATGGGGTTACTATTAGTGCCAGAACGCACTGCAAAACCTGGGCCGCCAGATGCTCAACAACAGCCCTACATCAGTAATGGTCTTTTTACACAAAATCGAATTAAAAATGCACAATTTTTTTTTCCCCAAGACTTGACACCTCTGAGATCATGTGAGAACAATGTAGCATACTGCTGTTTAATATATTTATTGTGGAGCGATGCTCCTCAGACAGACCAATGTCTTCGATTTTGTCATGGTTATGGCATAATCACCTTAAAGCCACTGTAGCAAAATCAACCTTTTTAATTATAAGAGTCAGAGAGAAAAACTGACATCAAAACCAAATTATGAGTTTTGGTGCAAGAAACCTTGAAGTTGAACTATTTAAAGTTTTGTTTTTCTCCTGACGGCTGTAGGTCAGCTAGCACCACTCCCTCTGGTTCTCCATGTTCATCACAGCAGAGTGTGTATCAGTCAGGGGGGGCTTCAGGACCCTCTGCTGGAGCCTCAGCATCCTGGAACCCTTTTGGCGATGACAATTTCTCCAAACTCACGGCAGAAGAGCTGCTAAACAAGGATTTTGCCAAATTGGATGGTAAAACCAATGTTTTCGTTTGGTACTCTTTTAGCACAATATTTATTTATTATATGTTATCCTGCACGCTTTATTTAAAGGAGTAGTTCACTTTTGAAAAAAAACTTTTGCTGATAATTTACTCACCCCCATGTCATCCAAGATGTCCATGTCTTTCTTTCTTCAGTCAAAAAGAAATTAAGGTTTTGATGAAAACATTCCAGGATTTTTCTCCATATAATGGACTTCAATGGGAACCAGACGGTTCAAGTTCCAAAATAAACTTTCAGTACAAACTGCAAACTGTTCAAAGGGCTTTAAACGATTCCAGACGATGAATAAGGGTTTTATCAAGCGAAACGATCGCTCGTTTTATAAATAAATAACAAAGTTTAAGTTTTATAAGCCTTGCTCTGTTCTGTAACGCACTCCTGTTCGAACTTGTTCATTAAAATGAACAAATCTTTGGTTCATTCGGCAAAAGAAACGAATGAATTGATTCGGAAAAAGATTTGTTCATTTTGTTAAACGAGTTTGAACAGGAGAGTCACGAACGCGCATCACAGAACAGAGCAAGGCGAGCGTTTGATCTTATCAAACTTAAACTTTGTTTTTTTTTAAATTAGCGATCGTTTCGCTTGATAAGACCCTTATTTATCGTCTGGAATCGTTTAAAGCCCTTTGAACAAGTTTGCAGTTTCTTTTGTAACTTGAACCGTTTGGTTCCCAGTAAAGTTTTCTCCATTATATGGAGAAAAATCCTGAAACGTTTTCATCAAAAACCTTAATTTCTTCTCGACTGAAGAAAGAAAGACATGGACATCTTGGATGACATGGGGGTGAGTAAATTATCAGCAAAAGTTTTTTTGAAAAGTGAACTAATCCTTTAAGCAAACCTCTACAGAGAGACTTTAGAAATACGCGTGTGTGTGTGTGTGTTTCCAGCTAAGATGGCAGAGAGATCCTGTCCTGAAAATCTGATTCCTGGGTTGCAGTCGGTGTCTTCCAATAAAGGCTTTCTTCAGGGAGGAGGTACAGTCTGTTTATCACTCTCTCTGTCTTTCCCAGTGCTTGCTGGGAGTCTGTTAATGCTTAAGACAGAACTGCATTGCAAAATTATTTTATTTTTCCACTTTCGAAGCAATGTGATGCCACAAATACTGTTAACTTCTACTGAAACCTGGAACTGATTCAACCAATGGGTGCTGCCAGAGTTTCAGGATGGGGGATAGTCCTCCACAATTTGCTACAAACTCTGGAAATGGAATGGCAGTTTTTCACAATCCTTGTTATTCCCAATGGATCAAGTCCCACCCTACATTTTTACACTTTTGTGTTAAATATCCTGTTTCACCCAGAAACATGCCACGTTGCAGAAGTAAAGTGGGTTGTGAATGTTGATTCACTTTCAATGTCTTTTGAGAGACTTTAAAAAAGCATTCAATGTTCTTGACCTCTCCTAGCCTTCCAGAAATAAAGTGTCATGTGCATTTCACCTGCTGGCAGCCTTGTGATAAGCCTTTCCTCTTCCTATTTATAGAGATAAAGACAGACTCTTTTTCCACCTGGGTTCTTGGTAACATTGCGGACCCTTGTCTCATGTAATCAATAAAAGGGTAAATTCGGATCAAGATTGTTATTGGGTGATTAAGACCTTTTAAAAGGTGTAGTTTCTCTTTGTGGTTTTTTTATTTATTTATTTTTTTTACTTTTTTTCACTATTTCTCCAATTTAGGGTTAGGGATTTAGACAGATCTGTCACATGGTAATGGAGTTAAAGGGTTCACTCTCAAAAAAAAAAAAAAAAAAGACTTTTCTTTGAAACACAAATGAAGTATATTATAAGTTTTTTTTATATATATATATATATATATATATATATATATAAAACCTGTGATAGTCTAGTGACCTCTCTAGTCTAGTCCATTCCACCTAAACTTTAAAGATTCAAAAACATTATAAAAGTAATCCATATGACCTGAATGGTGTAATCAGTCTTCTGAAGACACGCAATTACTTTATATGAATTGAACCATTTTAAAGGGTTAGTTCACCCAAAAATGAAAATTCTGTCAGTATTTACTCACCCTCATGTTGTTCCAAAACCTCTATGTGTTTATTTGTTCTGCTATACACAAAGCAAGATATTTGGAAGAATGTTTTAATCAAACAGATCTCATTCCCCATTGACTACCATAGTAGGAAAAATACATACTATGGTAGTCAATGGGGAATGAGATCTGTTTGATTAAAACATTCTTCCAAATATCTTCCTTTGTGTTCAGCAGAACAAATAAACACATAGAGGTTTGGAATAACATGAGGGTGAGTAAATACTGACACAATTTTCATTTTTGGGTGAACTAACCCTTTAATTTTAGGCATTCATTGACATAAAAAAAACATCGATCAACACACAAACATAACTCATCAAATATGTTAAATGGAAGCTCAGATGTGCTTGCTTGATTTGTAAGAACCAATGAGGTTTGTTCTCATATCAGGCAAGCAAATTTGAGATTTCGCAAGAATCGGTGAGGTTTGACGGGTTATGTTTGTAGTGGGTTGTTCAATTTTTATAGTTAAATAATAAAAGCCTTAAGTAAATGTATACCACTCTATACAAATATGGCCTTTTTTTGAAGCGTTCTAGTGTTACTGTTATTTAGTATTAATTTCTCATTGATGTATTTGGTTTGTAAGAATCACAGGTTCTCATTTTGAATGCTCTTTGTGAAAAGCGCCATGCGTCTCACATTGCCATTTAACCAAAAAAAGACAATTATATTTAAACGACATATTCTGCTACACTGTCACTGTATATAATGGCACATTATCATAGCATTATCTTTTTGATTTTTAGTGTTCGAATTTGTTTGTAAAAGAGAATTGATTCTCAGTAGAAAGCGCAGAGGGTGGATTAACGCTTGAGTCTTACGTAAGCACAGTCTGGTAATCCTCTGAGTCTGATGACACGCACACCAGATCATGCTGGGTAAATTTAAGGCACAGGTAAACCTTTTGAGAGCCGCAGGATACATGGCCATGAAATTGGCAATCATGTGTACCGTAGCTCCACGGAGATCTGACACACACTTTTCCCAACAATAGTTACAGTAGTAGCCATATCTAGGGTCCAATTGAGACCTGTAAGTAATGGTCTCGGAAAACTTTAGTATGTTCTCTAGGATTTGAAGACCATCCTTGATTCATTTATGTTTAAAGGTTGATGGTTTGCTCTCTGCCTTAGTGAAAGGGGGAAAGCGAGCGTTCTGCTGTTCTGTGACCTGAGTTCCCCCCTTCTCCCCCCATACCCTCATCCCAAAGTCCTCTTTTCGATCATAAAGACTGTGAGTAAGACCAGCATTGTAACAAAGAGTCCGATTCTCAACTGATCCGCATGCATCTGGTTGAATGAAACCGTGACAGTTGCACCATTCCAAATGTTTGCCAGATTAACTAATAGCTTGTCTGGTAGTCGAGTACTGTACCTTCGCTCTGCTTGAGTTATAACCCTGAGCCTGTGAAGTATGGATTGTCTGTCTAACACGAATGATAAGTTTGTTTTAAAGTGTAGTATACTACACCAGTGGTTCGCAATCCTGTTACTGGAACCCACTTGACAAAACTGTTCATTTTCAATCTATCCCTCCTTAACCAGACAAATGAGATGTTCAAAATGCGCAGTGCTCGGGCCCCAGGAACAGGGTTGAGAACCTTTCTGCTACACGAGCCCAGTACAGTATTTCAAACAGTGCGCTCTGTTTTATACTGCATGTCCTAGCAAATGTGGTAGGCCATTTGGCTATTTCAGAAAATTTGCACTGTATACATGCTGCATACTGAAGAAAGGGAGCAAGTAGTATGCCATGCTTTGGGTTTTCAGTTAGTTTGTGCTCTTGGATTCTTGTTTTTATTTTTTCTACAGGATTATAATGCTTAAACTGTCTTAATGTTCTTTTTCCTTATAAGCAACACTTTTGACTTAACAAGTCCTGCTCATGGAGGGACACTGACCTGCAGAGTTTGGCTCCAACCCTAATAAAACACACCTGAAATAGCTAATCAAGGTCTTCAGGACCTCGTTTTCAAAAATAACATTGTTTACACACCCGCATAAATTCACCGTCGAGCGCCATCATAACTATGTCAAACCTATTGGCGGCAGTGTAGGGGTTAAGGATAAAGCCATGCAAGCCAATCTGAATCCTGGAATCGACAAGAGAGAACCTTAAATGCCGTTTCTCCCAGTTTACACAGCAACACAAAACCGGCGTTTTCAGAAATCTCCACTTTGGCCGGAGTTTTTAGAAATAATCGTTTTCAATGATAAAAACGGCGTTTTCGTGTAAATGAGAGGGCAAAACGCAGAGAAATATCTGCGATTTCCCATCGTGTAAACGGGACCTAAAGGAGCTGTATGCAAGAAATTTATTTCAATTAATCATACATTTATCCTGATATGTCACTACTATACATTAAGAAATCATGTTGATTTCAAAAACTTATATCTCTGACAACAGTAGTCCGGCCAGGATGTTGTCATTTAAAAAGTGAAGTTGCAGCCCTCAACTGATGTTGATGTTGTCATGCTATGTTTATTCATTTGGCAGGCGTTTTCATCCAAAGCGACTTCCAAACAAGAACAATAGAAGCAGTTAAACTAACAGTAGGACAACAATACCTAAGTGCTATAACCCCTCTCAGCTTAATTTTAGTGTATTTTTTTTAAATAGAATAGAAGAGAAGAGAAGAGAAAGTGTTAGTACTACTGAATCAAGTGCTGCCGAAAAAAGATATGTCTTCAGCAGTTTCTTGAAAGTGGCTACTGACTCAGAAGCTCTGGTTGAGTTAGGCAGATCATTCCACCAGCAGGGAACAGTCATGGTAAAGGTCCAAGAAACAGATTTTGTGCCTCTTTGAGATGGTACCACAAGACGACATTCGCTAGCAGAGTGCAAGTTTCTGGATGGCACATAATTCTGAAGTAATGAGTTTAGGTAAGAGGGAGCAGTGCCAGTGGTTGTTCTGTGGGCAAACGTCAGTGTCTTGAATTTAAAGTGAGCGGCAACTGGCAATCAGTGCAATTTTGTGAGGAGAGGAGTGACGTGTGCTCTCTTTGGCTCATTAAAGTCTACTCTTGCTGCAGCTTTTTGGATCAATTGTAGAGGTTTGACAGAGCAAGCTAGAAGACCAGCCAGGAGAGCATTACAATAGTCCCGTCTGGATAAAAACAAGTGCTTGGACAAGGAGTTGTTTAGCATGCTCTGTAAGGAAGGGGCTGATCCTCCTAATGTTGTGCAAGGCAAATCTGCAGGACCGAGCAGTTCCAGTAATTTGGTCTGTGAATTTCAACTGATCATCAATTACAACCCCAAGGTTCCTAGCTGACCTAGAAGGAGTTATGGATGATGAGCTTAGCTGAATGGAGAAGTTGTGATGAAGTGTTGGGTTGGCCGGGACCACAAGTAGCTTCACAAGGTTTAGTTGAAGGTGGTGGTCCTTCATCCAGCCAGAAATGTCTGTCAGGCAGGCTGATATACGAGCAGCTACCGTCGGATCGTCAGGCTGGAATGAGAGGTAGAGGTGTGTGTCATCAGCAAAGCAATGATATGAAAAGCCATGTTTCTGAATCAGATATCCTAGTGATATCATGTAGATAGAAGTGGTCCAAGCACTGAGCCCTGAGGCACCCCAGTTGCTAGATGTCGGGTCTTAGATGCCACACCTCTCCACGACACCCTAAAGGACCTACCTGAGAGGTAAGACTCGAAGTGCAGTTCCCGAGATGCCCTTCATCTTTAGGATTGACAGGAGGATCTGGTGGTTAACTGTGTCAAAAGCAGCAGACAGATCCAGCAGGATGAGGACTGATGATTTGGAAGCTGCTCTTGCCAGTCTCAGAGCTTCAATTACTGAGAGCAGGGCAGTCTCAGTTGAGTGTTCACTTTTGAAACCAGACTGATTGTTGTCCAAGAGGTTGTTCTGTTTAAGAAAGGAGGAGATCTGGTTGAAAACAACTTGTTCAAGTGTTTCGCGACAAATGGAAGCAGAGATACTGATGTGCTGGATTTAGGTAGGGTTTCTTAAGCAGTGGGGTTACTCGAGCCTGCTTAAAAGTTGTGGGAAAGGTACCACTGATGCGCCACCCTCCACCTATCTACCAATCACGGAGTCAGTAGTGTTGCGGCATTAGGGTTGCCAGCTCCGGGATACACCACTCTACAGTAATTCGAAAGTGATTGCAGTACCAGTTTTGGCCACAGTCTTGCATACGGCTCCTTTAACTCGGCAGGACATTGTCCCTCCAGGAGCAGGAATTGGACACCACTCACTTAAAGGAGTAGTTCATCCCAAAATGAAAATTCTGTCAGTAATTACTCTTCCAACCCCATAAGACTTTCGTTCATCTTTGGAACACAAATTAAGATATTTTTTATTAAATCTGAGAGTTGTCTCACTGCTCCATACGCTTCTAAAGGGATCGAAACTGGCCAGCCCAAAAGTTATGGAAGACATCGTTAAAATAGTCAGAGTGACTACAGTGGCTTAATCTTAAGTTTATCAAGTGACGAGAATACTTTTTGTGCGCAAAAAACTAACAAAATAACGACTTTATTCAACTATTCATTTCCTTCTCTGTGGGGCTCGAGATTTCACGTAGTGAAACTGCGCAGCGCTTCTGTGTTGTACGTCACACGCAGACTCACTATCAGCGAAGGGGTAGGGCTACATAGCCCTCGAAACGGAGATTTTTCAGAGGCACACTCCAAACGGAGGGCTAAGAGAAAAGTTCACGGAATGCATCGGAAATCACCGGCGAGATGGATCGCAAACAGTTAAACATTAAATTTAGCGCCAGATGATTCCACCACGCACTTTATTTACTCTTATAATAACACTATAGTCGTTTAAATTAACAAATGGTATAATAAATTACCTTTCCGATCAGAAAATACATACATTTCAAGGAAGGGATGTTATAATCATCATGTTTATTCAAAGTTAAGAGCAGCTCCGCTGATTGTCAGTCGTTGTCATGGAGAAATCCTGTATAAACTGCGTAGCGGCTGAGCCATCGCCGACGACTGATGATGTATGAAGGGTTCATGAAGGGTTGTTCCATTTTGTAGGGGAATATTTCAACCCCTTGGCCCTTGTAACTCCGTTTTAAGAGCCAAGGGGTACACTCAAAAACAAGGGGTAGGGCCAAGGGGTGAATTGGGATTCAGCCTTAAAGTCCCTGTAAAGGCAAATCTACAAAAAAGTTCTAAACACATTATAAATGTTCCATATGTATTGCTAAAACATATTACAAAGACTGTGAAGTACTGAAATGTGGAGTTAGACCGTTAAACAGTTTTTCACCATTGCAATTTTACGGATTTTTTGGGCGGGGCTAAAACAGGGTTCGATGACGCACTGGAGCCCATGAGCTCCTGGACAAGCCCCTATTTCATGACGCATTTTGCTGATCTCATCTCTCCCCTAACAATAGAGCACATTCGCATTCGCCGCTCAATCGCGAGTGACTGTCAGTCCTATTAGTTACTACAGTCTACCGTTTTCTGGCTAGCTATTTGACACAGAAATGTATAGGCTATTACCTGGATGTGATCATGTACAAAACAGATCGGTAACTTCATTTAATCTCCCTAAAAACGATCACATCAAGAAGAGGTTTTTAGAGAGCCAACCTTGTTGATGAAGAGCTGAGGATCACCCCCAACACCCGCCTCTTTAGTGATCATTTTACACTGGATCGTTTTATAAACTTTCCTCAGAGACAACTGGGATTCACTGATTATTCACTGATAATCCGCTGTTACTGGTGAACAGGGCCGAAACGGCTATCTCCCCCCTCAGCGTTCATCCTCCCGTCTCCAAAAGCTAATCAGCTAATATCACCGTCGACAGACTTCCCGTGAGTGGGCGTGAGCGGACACGCCCCCAGCGTTTGAGAGCAGAGAATACTGCTCATTTTTTCATGATTTTGATAGCTTATTTTATGTACTTGCCGGCTTTTTTTATCATTCAAATTTGTCTGGATGGCTAATAACACATTTTTCTGTGGTGTCACAAACTCAGAACACATACTTAATTTTGACTTTACAGGGACTTTAAGATTAAAGGCCAATTTATACTTCTGCGTAGGGTGCGCGCAGTAGGTACGGTGTAGCATACGCACAGACGCGTCCCATACCGCGTACCCTTCCGCGTTGCCTGACGCGCACCTCTTCAAAAATGTAACTACACGTCGCGACGACGCGGACCGCAAGATCGGTGATTGGTCGGCTTGGTAGCGTCGTATTTCCTCATACGCATTTCCGCACGTACCTTCTCACGCATTTCCACACGTACCATCTCCTCCGACGTCTTCTCTCATTTCTGCCTTTCAGTTTTAGTAATTTCACTAAAATGAACTGTTTTTTCACCCCAATAAGCTCCAACTCCAACATGATCCACTCTCTTTCAGTCGCTATTGCTTGTAGTAACCTAGCCGCGAGGAATCTAAACACAGTGGAACATTAAAACCCTCCGCCGCCTCCTAGCGTTTCGGAGCAGTACTGCAGAGCAACCAATACCTGAACGCAGAAGTATAAATGCTCACAACGGCGTCGCCTACGTGCGAAGCCAACGCCGTACACTACGGCGTACCCTCGACGCAGAAGTATAAATTGGCCTTAAGCCACTGAAGTGACTTGGACTATTTTAACGATGTCTTTCATAACTTTTGGGCCAGCCAATTTCGATCCCTTAGAAAACGTATGGAGGAGAGATCCAACTCTCAGATTTTATCACAAATATCTTAATTTGTGTTCCGAAGATGAACGAAAGTCTTACGGGGTTGGAACAACATGAGGGCGAGTAATTATCATTTTGGGATGAACAATTCCTTTAAATCTCTCCACACTGTATACTCTCCTGTCCTTACTGTTTCCTCTGCTCATAACCGAGTCTCCTCTCCTCCTCACTGTCTCTTTTCTTCCTCACTTCCTTGTCTTCTTCTCACTTTCTTCTCTCCCAATTTAGTCTCTTCTCTTCCTCACTTGTTCCTTTCTTTTACTTTCCTCACTCTCTTCTTTTCCTCTTCTTATTGCCTCTATTCTCCTCTTCTTTCTTTACGGTGATCTCTACTCCTTTCATGTCCCGTCCTCCTCACTGTTTCCGCTCTCCTCTTTTTTTACTGTCCCCTCAATCTTTTCTTCTGTCTTCTGTCCCTCTCCTCAATGTATCCTCCTCTCTATCTCCGTCCTCCTCTCCTCTTTGTCGCATGTCCTTCTCACTGTCTCTCTTCTCGTTGCGGTCCTTGCTGATTCTTCCCCTCACTGTCTGCTCTCTTCTCGTTTTTTCTCCTCATCTCCTCTCCTCACTGTCTCCCAATTTCTCTACCTCATTGTTTTTCTTTTCTCTTCTCATTTATTTTCTCCTAACTGTCTGTTCCCCTTAAAGTCCCTTCTTTCTCCTCTCCTCTTAGTCTCCTTCATCAGTCTCCTTGCCTAACTCTCCTGACCCCTCTCTGTTATCCTCTCTTCTCTTTACAGTCTCCTCTCCTTCTTTCATCTCTTATCTCCTCACTGTCGCTCTGCTCTTTCCTATCTTTACATTCTCCTCTCTATTTTACGTCTATTCTTCTCTTCCTTTCATCTCTTCTCTACCTCACTGACCAATGTCTTCTCCTTCCCTCTCCTTCATTCCTTTCTGTTTCCTTGCTCTCTCTCTCTCTCCTCACTGTTTCTTCTCTCTTCCCTTCTCCTCACTGTCTCCTCTTCGCTCATGGAGTAGAGAAGTTGATTGAGGGTTTGAAGTCTCCAGAGCTTTCTTCCTCCCTGATCCTCCCTGACCTTCCCTTGAATGACCCCTTCAGCCCTGCAGACAGTAGTCATGGTAATCAGCCGCTTGTCTGTTTATTGTTGTTTTTGTTTTTTTTATTGCCCATAATAACCCTACAACTGATGAATGGCCTTCATTGGTGTTTTAATGGTGATTGTTTTCTTAGTTCAGCTCAGAGTAACACCTGGAACTCCTGGATCGTCCCCATTTCTGTCTATTCTTATAACCCCACTGCGGTTTCATCTCTTCTTCGTCTGTATAGTTGTTGTAAACGTTGTGTTCATCAGGCATCTGTATATCTTTGAATGATCTGGTTTAAAGAGTGCTGCTTCATGCATGGAGTGAATTGACATCACTAAGACCATCTCTCTCACCTTTACATTTGCTACGTAAAACGTCAAATTTGTCTTTTCTTTTTTTTTCTTTCTGCAGTTGGGACGGATTCTCTGATCCCTGGTCTGGATCCTCTACAGACTGATCCTGGGTCAGCTGCACTGCCAGGTCAGCAATTCTGTAAATATTCTCCTTTTATACAGTAGCTCACTGTAAATCTGCTGACATTGGAAAAATCTGCAAGGTGTACTGGATGCCATTTTATCAACGTCCATTGAAATAATTACTTACCATTGTTATTACTCCAAGTATTACATTTTAGTCAAAACTGCTACCGAAGCATGGATGGTGCTGTCGCAGTTCTTTTTGGTAGGGTTACTTTTTTCACCGATCGGCTGGATCTTAATCCCTTTTATTAAAGGGATAGTTCACTTTGAAATTAATTTTTGATATGTTTTAGCTTACCTCAAGGGCATCCAAGATGTAGGCGTCTTTGTTTCCACAGTATTTTCAATTTTGACATTTTTCAGTCAAACCGTTGTTGTCTGTCAGTCATACACTGTCAATCATGCACAGAGAAGTCCAAATTAAACATGATTTAATGACTCGTAAATGTAAGTACACATTGATGGCCTAAGACACGAAACGAGCGGTTTGTGTGAGAAAACGAACAGTATTTATATCGTTTTTACCTCGTGTAATCACAGTGACGTCCAAGTGATCTGAATCAGTTGTGCAATGTCCGACTGAACCGAACTGAATCAGTTCAATGTTACGCCAGAAGTAATCGCTTGCGTGTGACGTCAATCAATATTTACACGGAGATTTCGGAAGTTTTACCTTTTACTAAACATATTTAGATATACCGAAATCGTCTTCCATTGCGGTTTCCCGTATATCTAAATATGTTTAGTGAAAGGTAACACTTCCGAAATCTCTGTATAAACAAAGAGTGACGTAGGCGCGCAAGCGATCACTACCAGCGCATGTGTAGACCGAAGCGCCCGTGCCGTCAGATCATTTTGTCATGGCTATGATTACAAGAGGTAAAAACGATATAAATACTGTTCATTTTCTCACACAAACCGCTCGTTTCGTGTCTTAGGCCATCAATGTGTACTTACATTTACGAGTCATTAAATCATGTTTAATTTGGACTTCTCTGTGCATGATTGACAGTGTATGACTGACAGACAACAACGGTTTGACTGAAAAATGTCAAAATTGAAAATACTGTGGAAACAAAGACGCCTACATCTTGGATGCCCTTGAGGTAAGCTAAAACATATCAAAAATTAATTTCAAAGTGAACTATCCCTTTAATAAAAGGGATTAAGATCCAGCCGATCGGTGAAAAAAGTAACCCTACCAAAAAGAACTGCGACAGCACCATCCATGCTTCGGTAGCAGTTTTGACTAAAATGTAATACTTGGAGTAATAACAATGGTAAGTAATTATTTCAATGGACGTTGATAAAATGGCATCCAGTACACCTTGCAGATTTTTCCAATGTCAGCAGATTTACAGTGAGCTACTGTATAAAAGGAGAATATTTACAGAATTGCTGACCTGGCAGTGCAGCTGACCCAGGATCAGTCTGTAGAGGATCCAGACCAGGGATCAGAGAATCCGTCCCAACTGCAGAAAGAAAAAAAAGAAAAGACAAATTTGACGTTTTACGTAGCAAATGTAAAGGTGAGAGAGATGGTCTTAGTGATGTCAATTCACTCCATGCATGAAGCAGCACTCTTTAAACCAGATCATTCAAAGATATACAGATGCCTGATGAACACAACGTTTACAACAACTATACAGACGAAGAAGAGATGAAACCGCAGTGGGGTTATAAGAATAGACAGAAATGGGGACGAGGAGTTCCAGGTGTTACTCTGAGCTGAACTAAGAAAACAATCACCATTAAAACACCAATGAAGGCCATTCATCAGTTGTAGGGTTATTATGGGCAATAAAAAAAACAAAAACAACAATAAACAGACAAGCGGCTGATTACCATGACTACTGTCTGCAGGGCTGAAGGGGTCATTCAAGGGAAGGTCAGGGAGGATCAGGGAGGAAGAAAGCTCTGGAGACTTCAAACCCTCAATCAACTTCTCTACTCCATGAGCGAAGAGGAGACAGTGAGGAGAAGGGAAGAGAGAAGAAACAGTGAGGAGAGAGAGAGAGAGCAAGGAAACAGAAAGGAATGAAGGAGAGGGAAGGAGAAGACATTGGTCAGTGAGGTAGAGAAGAGATGAAAGGAAGAGAAGAATAGACGTAAAATAGAGGGGAGAATGTAAAGATAGGAAAGAGCAGAGCGGCAGTGAGGAGATAAGAGATGAAAGAAGGAGAGGAGACTGTAAAGAGAAGAGAGGATAACAGAGAGGGGTCAGGAGAGTTAGGCAAGGAGACTGATGAAGGAGACTAAGAGGAGAGGAGAAAGAAGGGACTTTAAGGGGAACAGACAGTTAGGAGAAAATAAATGAGAAGAGAAAAGAAAAACAATGAGGTAGAGAAATTGGGAGACAGTGAGGAGAGGAGATGAGGAGAAAAAACGAGAAGAGAGCAGACAGTGAGGGGAAGAATCAGCAAGGACCGCAACGAGAAGAGAGACAGTGAGAAGGACATGCGACAAAGAGGAGAGGAGGACGGAGATAGAGAGGAGGATACATTGAGGAGAGGGGACAGAAGACAGAAGAAAAGATTGAGGGGACAGTAAAAAAAGAGGAGAGCGGAAACAGTGAGGAGGACGGGACATGAAAGGAGTAGAGATCACCGTAAAGAAAGAATAGAAGAGGAGAATAGAGGCAATAAGAAGAGGAAAAGAAGAGAGTGAGGAAAGTAAAAGAAAGGAACAAGTGAGGAAGAGAAGAGACTAAATTGGGAGAGAAGAAAGTGAGAAGAAGACAAGGAAGTGAGGAAGAAAAGAGACAGTGAGGAGGAGAGGAGACTCGGTTATGAGCAGAGGAAACAGTAAGGACAGGAGAGTATACAGTGTGGAGAGATTTAAAGGAATTGTTCATCCCAAAATGATAATTACTCGCCCTCATGTTGTTCCAACCCCGTAAGACTTTCGTTCATCTTCGGAACACAAATTAAGATATTTGTGATAAAATCTGAGAGTTGGATCTCTCCTCCATACGTTTTCTAAGGGATCGAAATTGGCTGGCCCAAAAGTTATGAAAGACATCGTTAAAATAGTCCAAGTCACTTCAGTGGCTTAAGGCCAATTTATACTTCTGCGTCGAGGGTACGCCGTAGTGTACGGCGTTGGCTTCGCACGTAGGCGACGCCGTTGTGAGCATTTATACTTCTGCGTTCAGGTATTGGTTGCTCTGCAGTACTGCTCCGAAACGCTAGGAGGCGGCGGAGGGTTTTAATGTTCCACTGTGTTTAGATTCCTCGCGGCTAGGTTACTACAAGCAATAGCGACTGAAAGAGAGTGGATCATGTTGGAGTTGGAGCTTATTGGGGTGAAAAAACAGTTCATTTTAGTGAAATTACTAAAACTGAAAGGCAGAAATGAGAGAAGACGTCGGAGGAGATGGTACGTGTGGAAATGCGTGAGAAGGTACGTGCGGAAATGCGTATGAGGAAATACGACGCTACCAAGCCGACCAATCACCGATCTTGCGGTCCGCGTCGTCGCGACGTGTAGTTACATTTTTGAAGAGGTGCGCGTCAGGCAACGCGGAAGGGTACGCGGTATGGGACGCGTCTGTGCGTATGCTACACCGTACCTACTGCGCGCACCCTACGCAGAAGTATAAATTGGCCTTTAATCTTAAAGTCCCTGTAAAGTCAAAATTAAGTATGTGTTCTGAGTTTGTGACACCACAGAAAAATGTGTTATTAGCCATCCAGACAAATTTGAATGATAAAAAAAGCCGGCAAGTACATAAAATAAGCTATCAAAATCATGAAAAAATGAGCAGTATTCTCTGCTCTCAAACGCTGGGGGCGTGTCCGCTCACGCCCACTCACGGGAAGGCTGTCGACGGTGATATTAGCTGATTAGCTTTTGGAGACGGGAGGATGAACGCTGAGGGGGGAGATAGCCGTTTCGGCCCTGTTCACCAGTAACAGCGGATTATCAGTGAATAATCAGTGAATCCCAGTTGTCTCTGAGGAAAGTTTATAAAACGATCCAGTGTAAAATGATCACTAAAGAGGCGGGTGTTGGGGGTGATCCTCAGCTCTTCATCAACAAGGTTGGCTCTCTAAAAACCTCTTCTTGATGTGATCGTTTTTAGGGAGATTAAATGAAGTTACCGATCTGTTTTGTACATGATCACATCCAGGTAATAGCCTATACATTTCTGTGTCAAATAGCTAGCCAGAAAACGGTAGACTGTAGTAACTAATAGGACTGACAGTCACTCGCGATTGAGCGGCGAATGCGAATGTGCTCTATTGTTAGGGGAGAGATGAGATCAGCAAAATGCGTCATGAAATAGGGGCTTGTCCAGGAGCTCATGGGCTCCAGTGCGTCATCGAACCCTGTTTTAGCCCCGCCCAAAAAATCCGTAAAATTGCAATGGTGAAAAACTGTTTAACGGTCTAACTCCACATTTCAGTACTTCACAGTCTTTGTAATATGTTTTAGCAATACATATGGAACATTTATAATGTGTTTAGAACTTTTTTGTAGATTTGCCTTTACAGGGACTTTAAGGCTGAATCCCAATTCACCCCTTGGCCCTACCCCTTGTTTTTGAGTGTACCCCTTGGCTCTTAAAACGGAGTTACAAGGGCCAAGGGGTTGAAATATTCCCCTACAAAATGGAACAACCCTTCATGAACCCTTCATACATCATCAGTCGTCGGCGATGGCTCAGCCGCTACGCAGTTTATACAGGATTTCTCCATGACAACGACTGACAATCAGCGGAGCTGCTCTTAACTTTGAATAAACATGATGATTATAACATCCCTTCCTTAAAATGTATGTATTTTCTGATCGGAAAGGTAATTTATTATACCATTTGTTAATTTAAACGACTATAGTGTTATTATAAGAGTAAATAAAGTGCGTGGTGGAATCATCTGGCGCTAAATTTAAATGTTTAACTGTTTGCGATCCATCTCGCCGGTGATTTCCGATGCATTCCTTGAACTTTTCTCTTAGCCCTCCGTTTGGAGTGTGCCTCTGAAAAATCTCCGTTTCGAG